TTCCTGCAGGTCATGGAAAAGATATGTCTTCCAGGCTCCATCAGCCTTGCTTTAAGAACAGCTTATCTCCTTGGAATAGGAGACATCTCCATCTCACCCCAGCAACCAAGAAAGCTTACAGATAAAACTGGCAAAGAAACACTCTCACCCAAACCACCCAAGAGGCACAGTGGTCAACCCAGAGAAGATCTGAACCCTGCAACCTTGCCACAGCATGTGTGAAGCACCAGAGAAGCTCCTCCCTGAGGCCTCCCCTGGGATGGAGCAGAAAAACAGTAGAGGGACTATTTTATTCAGTTCTTGCAAGACACTTGAACCCCAAAGATCCAATGACAGCACTGTTTTGGGCTACAGAAACTACTAACACAGCACAAAGGTCCACCTGCCCAACAGAGAAGAACAGACTTCTGCAACACACCAGCAGATGCTCACAGAACTTAACTTCCCCTGGATTGATGTACCTTTTTGGAGTATGTAAGAGGCAAGCTAAATAACTGAAACTGGACAAAGGAGGTACAAAATTTAGCCTTAAACTGATTTGACTGTGTGAAAGGAAGTAACTCTACTTGCTTCAGCTGAGACATCAAGTGGGACAGCACATTTGGATGTTATTCTGCACACACAAGGAAGTACACAGGAAAAAAAAAACCACCACCAAAACCCCACTGCCCAAAAGTAGCCTCTCTTCTACACAGACAGCCTGTAGGTGAGGAGTGGGGGTAGGAGGAAGGTTGCTGTGCAGAGACCACATCAAGGGGAGATTTTTTTTTAAATTACATTTTGATCCCCTAACAAAGCCCAGAGTTTTAACCAAAATTCCTCCTCCAACCTCCATTGTTCCCTTCCCAAGGTGGATTTAGGCTGCTTGGGTCTCATTAGGGACTTAACTGCTGACCATACAATTCCTAGGTATATTTTAACTCCATACCACTGCTGGTGCACACAGAGAAAACTGTTGGGCAAGGGAATTGTAGCAGCGAGGACTTCAATGTTTAAACAAGGTTTAGATGTGTACAAGTCTCTGCTTCCTAGGAAAAGTGAATAATTAACTCTTCATCCTCTGTGTTCAAAGAAAATAATGCCCATAAAGCTACATTGCATAAAAATGCATGCTACCAGAGAAGGGGAAGAGTGGAGCAAAATATATAGTAAAAAATGTTTTTAAAATAAACAAGTAAGTTCTTCACTGTAAGTAAGTTCTTCACAAGTAAATTCCTTCGCTGGCAACTAAGGATTTTTAAATATTGTTTTATTTTTAGTCTATCTGCTGAGCCACCATTTAGAAGTCAGTAGACTAAGAACTCACTGGGTCCAGTCTAGCACAGCAAATTAAGAATCTCCAGTATCTTCTTAAGATATTAAACAGATGATAAATTAATTTTAAAAGCACAAGGAGGAGTTTTTGAAATTATAAATAAACTTACTTTAAATCAGCAAAGAAATTCTTACAGCTTCCACTGAAACACTGCTCAGTAGGCAAAAGAAATCCCTAACTCCCATACCCCAAATACAATTTGCTAGAAAGAAAGATCTAGTCTACTCCTGGCTGAGTGAGATGGAAGAATTAAGAACAGCCATTTCTGCATCAAATTAAAGCATCAAGGATTGTTTGAGTGAAACTAATCATGACACAGGCAAGGATTTCCAAGAGACACAACCCTTCTGTAGTGAGCACTGACCACACCACTGGGGCCACGGTTTGCTCCTTGCTCATCTGTGCCTGGCCTGATTTTCGTGCCATACTAGGCCCATAACTGAAGGCCAAGGCAATGCTGGCTTTTGAGCTGTCCTACTTGAGAGACAGTCTGCTGGTCAAAAAAACAGGCAAGAGCACTCTGCTGAGCTCTACCCTCCTCACAAAACAGCTCCTTTAACAAAGCAATCCATAACCTTTCCCACAGCTTTTCACCGAAGGACCAAAGCAGAGAGAGGACTGAGCTTGGCGAATACTTCTAATTAACCTTTCACACTGACACAGTTTTTTCTGACAATCATTAATCTGTATAGTCATTTGGACCAGCTAGCTAAGGTCTCATGCATCGCTGTGTACACAGAGGGAGAGCTGGAATTTTTATGTACTTTCAAAAGTCAGTCCAGAAACTTCGAAGTCAGAGGGCAACCAGCCTCAAACAATCTCAGTTCCTATTTGTGAAGCTAGAATACACGATCTACTTCCCATCTACCACACAGGCTCTGGGTGCATGAGTTTCAAGAAAGGGACAAACAGTAAAAAAATCCACCTCAATGAAAACAGAAAAAAACCTAACCCATTTGACATAGTAACTAATGGGGGCTGAAACTTTCCTGCCTTTTAGCAATGTTTACAAATACACTAATAAAAGGCCAGAGTCCCTTTCAGCCTCATATCCAGCAGCCCCCTTGCTCAGCACAGCCAGTACTAACTGCTGCTCAGTAGCAGTAGGGCCTACTGCATATCACTTCTCTCTAGCTGGGGATCTCCCACCAGCAGGCTGCAGGGTGGCAGTGAAAATCCTTTTACATATAGAAAGGGAGTGGGGAAATGCTCAAACAACTATGATTCAATTCAGGTTATGGTAGCCAAGTTTAACCTGCCAAGAGACTGTACATTCTTGCTTGAGTATGTCTTTGAGGTTTCCAGGTCACTATATCATAGAAAACAAATCAAAAAGCCCCAAAACACTTAGTAAATAAGAAGAGCCCATCCTGAACACTAGATATATTTTGATACCGTGTCAGTTACCACGACACTTTCATAGTCACGTTTCAAAGGGTGAATGTCTTCTGGCACAGAAGGTACTAAAATTTCAATCCACCCTGTTTCCCCGCAGATGCTTCTTCAGATAAAATGTAACAGCTGACATCAAACAGATGCATCTAAATAGGTAACCTAAAAAGAAACAATGGAGTCTGAAATAGCTCCAGGTCTTTTTAAGATAAACTTTTAGCAAGAAATTTCTAGGGCAGTTCAGAGGCTCATGGAAGGGAGGAATTTAAAAGCAGCCCACAATACACTCCTGTTAGCCCTGTTCTACGATTTGCTAATTCCTGAGAGAACTGCATAGCCTTTGCTGACAGGCAAATTTAAGATCAAACAGTTGTCTGAAAACTATTTGCAAAACGTTTGAAGAGGGGAAGAAAAAGGGAGGCAGCAAACAGATTTCTTAATGCTGTCTCTTTATCAAAGCTACACTTGCTGTTTTTCCCACACTGTAACAGCCGTTCTTAAGTATATGCTTGTCTAACGTGCTTAATACTACCCACGAATAAAAGCAAATACTCTGGTTTCCATTGCATCTAAGTCTTTACACAAAACTCAGATGAATCCAGTTAGGCATCTGAGGCCTTTGATCCCAGCCCTTGCACAACTGGGCTTTACTAGAGGAATCCAAGCAAGAGAGGAGCATGCATTGCAGACACCTAGAAAGAGCCTGGATCTTTTCCAGGCTCTTTCTGCCTGCTCCTGGTGCTCTTCTGAGCACAAGAATATTAACAAGAAGAGTTAGACCAAACTCAAAATCCACATCAAGAGATTCAAGGTTATCAACTGCATTTCTTGAAGCTCTTGAGAATTCTTCCCCTTACAGGACACTTGCAAGACACTTCCCCAAGTGTGCACACTGATGAGAGCAATCCACGCGCTCTTAAACCAAACACCATAGCTGGACAGGGAAGATCAGAGTTGTATCTTACCAGACTTGCCAAACAAATTTTGTCCAAACCAGTCACAAGGAGAAGACTGCATTTCTAGCTCACCAGCTACATGACATCCTTTAGGACATCCCCAGCTGGATCAGCAGAGGAAGTATGTACTCAACCAACACAACGGTGGGGCAT